TTACCATCGGTTCTTGCCAAGGCTTCAGTACTCTCATCACAGCTGCTATCCCAGAGGATGCGTTCCCTGGCTAGAGTTGGCAATCCTATCTCCAAACCTCTAAAGCCTTTCCTTCTTATCAACCTGAAGTCTTGATTTAGCACGATGGGCTAGTATGTTACACGTTGGTATTGGTTGGTTGTGTGTAGCAGCTTGCCTGAGGAATGGTGAGCCCCCGGCTGAGATGTGGCTGTGCTATTTAGCCGTCCTCATGTTCTCGAACCTTGGAGGCAAGTGTCAGAGGCTGACCTGGAAACATGGCACCAAGTATTGATAGAATCACAGGGCCTCTTTCATTTCTTTGAGACGTGCTCTCGGTGCCTGATCAGGATATTTTTCCTCAACATTTTCATCGGCGTAATTGGTGAACTCTATCAGGTGGAAAAGGATCGATCAGCTGGGCACTTACCCCTGGCACACCTTTTCAACTTTTATTTTGGACAGGCATCCTTACTGTCGAATGCAATGCATGAAGCCATTCTGCCAATTGGTCTAAGAACTGCCACACCTGTTTCTTGAGCACGTTGAAAAGACATTGCAATTAGGAACGCTTCGGGAATCCATTTCTGAATCATGTTGATAAATAACTTCACTAAGGAATTGACCTTCCAAGAGCTCCGGGCACAGCAAGCACCTTACTGCCACAGGGAAGACCGCTGGATTTTGTTCAATGCAGAAAGACCGTAAAGTGTAATTAGAGTCAAAGCAGGGTAGATAGAGTTGAAGAGCAATTTTGCAGAAGGAGCGACAGAGAATTAAAAAAGGACGGATGAAGATTGCAGCGCTCCTTCATTGACAGGTCCGTGTTGAGCTTCCAGCTTCGAGCACGGATAATGCCTTGTGCCTCTTGGAGAGATGCTGGTTTTGTAAGGTTTTGGGCTTGCTTCTTAGACTTGACAAGTCTTCAGGCTTTGTGCAACGCGACCCTTGCTCACGCTAAATCCTCAGGGAAGCCTTCGAGGGTTAGTCAGCCAACTCATGAGCGTTAAGTCCTGCCCACAACGAAGGCTTTTGCATTGATGTTCTTTGTCATCATTGCAGGGGTGCAAATGCGGCTTGGCGAAGCCTAAGTTGAATTTGGCGCTTGTTAGGTCAATACATGTGTGGTATCGCAGCTGCATTTGAAAGCTGGATGCTTTCCATCCACTTGGAAGTTTCAACCTAGACCCCAGGCTTTCAATCGTCACTGGGCAACGGTTTACCTTCCTTGCGCTGCACCTCGCCTGACACTTGCGCACCTGAAAACGACTGCAAGGCGTGAAGGGACAAAAGGCAAAGCCTGAGAGCTTCCTCAATGCCGCTATACTATACTGTAAGAACTTTGTCAACTACCCTTAAGAGACTCAGGCCATCTTGGCATGCCCGTGGGTTTCTACTACTGTACATCTCGTGCGCACAAATGTGCATCCAATGTGAGGGCACCCTGGATTGACCCCTGTGACTCCTGGTTAGTTAAGGTGGCACTTTGTCAACAGTATTCTGCTAGGGGAGCACCCAAATTGCCGGTGAGCTTCCTTGGGGGGAGGGACAGAGCCAATTCAACAATTTTTGGCTCTTCCTTCTGGGCGATGTCCTGTTAGTATATACATAAACGGTTTTTGCAATTTGTTTATGCGTCCAGCTTATGCATATCTCATGGCAACAAAGGTCAAGAGCCACCTCCTCCCAGGATCGAGTTCAGCTCATCCCCTTCTCAGCCTGCTTGGAACCAAGGACCTTCACCATCCTGCAGATTGCCATGGTGATATGTGTTTTCCAGTTGCTAGACTGCTAGACCTCATTCGCTGTGGCACTGGAGATGCCTCGATGAAAGGAATTGTTCATACTGGTGTGCCCCTTTTCTCGATGAGTGTATTGTATGTACATATAACTACGAAACCAATAATATATATTATATATATATACTGTTTTATACTACATATCTATGTATATATACACACCTATATTCATTTTGTGTTCTTTCTGCCTTGCTCCTTCTCTCTCTCTCTCTCTCTCTTTCTCTTTATTCTCCCGAAGGGCTGTCCTTCATTCCACTTTGATCCATGCAAGGTGTCCTGACGAGGTCTGGGGATCCACTAATTGTGGGCATCGGCAAGGCTGCGCACTCAATGCAGAAGCAGCACAGGGAATTCTGCAAGTTTAGTGAGATGTGGGTTGGCCAAGGCAATAATCCAGAGAATAGATACCTTTGGATTTGCAAGCCGAAGCCTGAACATGTCAAGGAGCGGCTATTTGCAGAAGTGGACATGTGCAAAATATATACTGTAGTGGATCAGCATATGCTGGAGGACGTGCAGTCCTTGATGGTTGAGGACCTTCCCAGCTTCCTGAGGCCATTGGACAAAGGTGTTTCTGCCGGTCGATGCTGGGCCTCAGCCCTACCTCAGAAGGAGAAGCAGACAGGATGCAGCAGCAGCAGCAGCAGCAGCAGCAGCAGCAATCAGTCAATCAATCAACTCATGTCCATCATTCTGCCAAATTACAAATATGTATATATTTGTTTTTCTGTCTTTCTTTCTCTCTTCCTGATCGGTGTATGACGTTTGTCGTTGGAGGGCTCCTTTTTCGGGAGGCTGTGCCTACTTGACTCCAAATAGGGATCAACCTACTGTATCTATGTATCTCCCTCTCTATCTCTCCATTATTTGTTTGCTTTTTTGTCAATTTGTTTGTTTGCATCAGTTGATATTACATTTGTGTGGATGTATTTCAACACGGGCCCCTACAACAGCAGAGACAGTGCATTTCTCCTTCCTTACTTGACAGAGAGAGCTCTTCAAATGATAATCAAACAGCGGACAATGAAGGCATTCTCTATAGATCATGCTGGTGAATTATATTCCCTTCTTTGCATTACCGGCACCTTTTTGAGCTAGATAAACTATAGATAGATATGCGAGCCGTTCCCCAATCGCCTCCTAAATGCATGAATTGTGGCACGAATCAGTCGATCAATCCTCATTGCCCCAAGTATTCTTCACAAGTTGCCCAGTTGGATGAATACTTTGCTCCAATGTTGCCCAGGTGTCTCCAGACCTGTGTGCCCTCCACCACTTCCATTTGCTTTGGTCTTTCCTCTCTTCTTCCTTTTTGGAATTTCTTGCTTTTCTCTTCTCCTTTCTCGTTCTATGGACCTTTCGCATGTCCGTTTCTTTTATTTATCCAATTTCTCCCATTTCTCCGTTTATTCCTTTCATCCTTTCTTCCTTGCTTCCTTTCTTCCTTTTTTCCTTGCTGTCCTTCTTCCTTCCTTCCTTGCTTTCTTTCTTCCTTTCTTGCTTGCTTCATCTTTTCTTCCTTTCCTCTTTTCTTTTCTTGCTTTTGTTCTTTCTTTATTTCTTTGCTTCCGTCTGCTGCCGAGAAACTTCCTCTATGGCGATCGCCCTTGCTTTGTGGCAATGCCACTGCCATCGTGTTCCTCCACGTCGTCTGCTGCATGGATAGAGGTGCTGTTGGCACCAACACGGCAAGCCGGTGGTTTGCTGGTTGTAGGTAGCTTGTGGTGGCATTCTAGTTCCGGTTCATTAGAGTTCTGTGCATCCCAGGCGGGCATGTTGTGCTCGATTTGGGCCCAAAGCCACCCGCGGCATGCTCTTCCCATGCCTTCACTTAGACCTTTATTGAACCCAACCTATTTTGGATGGAGCCTTTAACATGTTGCACAAATCATCACTAACCACGACTACAAGGAAGCCTCACAATGGGTCAGACACACATCTCGTCAAATTTGTGTACATCCCGTTGGATCACACTCTCCAGCTTTTTGCCCTCCATGCATGCAGCCGGTTCGGCGGATGAGTGAACTGGTGCGTTTTTAAAGAATGAAGTTGAAGCACTGGAAGGCAGGTGTCAGCAGAGAGTGCCGGTTATAGAAGAGCAGACAGTGCCGGGACCTTTCAATCATTTCAATCAGATCGATCTTTTGAGTGAGAGCGTTGCCGCAAGACTTGGTCCTGCGTGCTGTGTTTGTTCGGATCTGAACGTTCTTTACACATGTTTTCTGAGGTTCGCTTTGCAGTAGCGACCGGCTGAGAAGCGACCACAGCATTGTAGGCCTAGGGCCTAGGCTTTAGTTTGCCTTTGCTGCCCAAGGCTCCGCTCTTGGGGCAACGTGCTTTCCGCTGGGAAGATGGCCCTTGCCCCAGTCACGTGTGATGCGGGTTGTGCAGATTGTTGATCGCATGAGAATTGGACTCAGGTTGGCGGAGAAGTAGAAGATTTCACTGACAGTACAACCTTCCTGACTCCTTTGCCATTTTCCTCACGAACAAGCCAACTCCAAGCATGTATCCGCTCAACTACATTTATAGATGTGCTACATGTCAGCCTAAGCAGGGACACATACATGCTATAGTTAGATCTGTATGTGTGCTTCATGATGCATGGGCATGTGTGCAGACAATATGAGCGTGCCCATCGTGACGCACTACGACGCGATAATGCATGTGCATGAACCGTTTCCCAGTGGAGCAGAGCCAGCCTTAAGGCCTGCCACAAAAGGTTGGCTAGGCAAACCCTAATGTACGCACCGAATGCATGGGCAGACAGGTCGAAAGGAGGAGAAAGGTGGCTATCGCAAGTGCCTAGACTATTGTACATGGTCATACAGTCAGAAATATTCTCCTGCAGGATTCGCACTTCTGTGCTTTTTTCTGTGATTGAGCCCACCATAGTATTATCAAATGGTCACCTCACTTGCATCGATGTTGGCTTGGAGTACCGATGACAGGGAGTACGGAAAACAGATTTGACTGTAGTTTAGCTAGGCAAAGGGCGAACTGTGCAACAGGCAAAAGTTCACCTTCGCAAAATTTGAGATGGCTTCCCTCTCAAATAGAGGGAATCGCTTGGTCATGCGTCTTTGGATGCATGAGAGTGCAACAAAGAGCGAGCTTCGATGCTCACGGCAGTGGCTCTTGCGCAACAAAATTCAATCTTTGGGCTCTTCCATTGAATTCCACAGTTCTATTGGTTCGAAGTATGGGAGATTTGACACATGTATGTGAGAGTCTGCAAACAAGCCCGCAGAGGTGCACAGGGAAAGCTCGGAAACTGTGCATGACTGTGCACTAAATTTGATTTCGTTGGTTACTTTCGTGTGTCTACTGTGCTCGACTTCCCATGGTCCTGGGCACGGCTGCAATTGGCAGAGAACCTTGACGGGTGCATCGCTTTGTGGTCTACTCTCAAGTTTGTGTTCAACAGATTTGGCCCCTGCTCATTGTCAAAATGCCGCAACTTCGAAGGCATGCTGACAACGCATGAGCTGCAAGACAGAAAGCAGAAGTTTCGGAACAAATCAAAAAGATTCATCAGGCTGGAATCGGAGCTTTGTTTGGTCATTGCCACTTCATGTTACTTCAAGACATTCTAGTTTTGCTGCCATCTAACAGGAGCCACGACAAAGCGGAGCAGCGTGCTTGCCTGGGCAAGTCAAAGGGTCTCTTCATGTCCCATGGCGTGCGTTTGAAACTGCTCCACTTAGGTTGCCTGCAGAGTACAGGCGTCGTTTGCAGTTGGGCATTAGCAACATCTCGACACTTTTCGTTGGCGGCAATTGCGTATTGCCTTGCAACCAGTTTTTCTGTAACGTACTTGTACAAGATGCACAGGATTCAACGGCTTTTGTTTGAGTTCCTGTAAACTCTTTTGGACCTGCCATCAGTGCAAAAGTGTATATATATATATTTACTGTATATAAATATGTTTGTATATTCTTACACACGCATATGTATGTATATGTATATATGTAAGTGTCGATGATCGATGTGCACAGGTTCAATTGAGCCGGGCAAATGGAATGAGGACTGTGCCCCACGGTGCCCTCAGGGCGTTCTTTCCGGGTGTTTTTTTGATCTCTTAGTGTCCATGCCCTGCAAGGAGGTAGTCCGTGCGCTCTCCACTAGAATGCCAGGAGGGCTTTCAACTATCACGCATCCATGCAAGTTTTGCTCCTGAACTGCAAGTTGTGTGTGACACTTGTGTAAACGTTTTGCTTTTCTCTGGTTGAGCACATCCGTCTCGGCCTCGTGCTGTTCACGAGGCGAAAGTGTGTTCTATCCTTGCCTGTGCATTGGTGGCGCTCACCGGCACAGGCAAGCTGTGCCGAATGCGCGGCGAAAACAGCCTGAATTTGACTGACACAACGCGATGATCAGCAGGGCATGGGAAGCCTCATTCAATGCACAATGCTTTTTTCCTCAACATTGTTAACCCTTTCCTCCCCACAAATGTAGCTGAAACCTAGCTCATGGAACCACACCAACTCTCGATCCACTGTTCGCCCCTTGAAAACCCTTCCACGTAGTGGGGTGCCCAAGGGTTGGTATATACGAAAGACAGGAATATCCACAAAACGTGCAACCATCACGACACCGTGAAGGAAGAAACATATGAATTACCACATCAGCAAGCGAAAGCATCTAATTTGGAACTTCGAGCACATCAAGCGGTTGTTTCATGCGAATGCACCTTTTGATCTTTTGGTATAGAAAAATGCCAACCATACACACCTGGTGCTGTTCTTGGAAGGCCTTATGCGTTTGCCGTATGGCCAGTAGGCTATCCCGTCCCAAGTCAGCTCCCTTCCCGACTTCCAGAATTCTATGCTGACCGATTCGAATGCTTTCACTTTCAAGCAAACTGCCAAAAGGATGACCAAAAACACCCAGTGGGATGCAGTGAAGGGGGTTTGCAGTTCTTTGCTCGAGTCTAAAGCTCCCTGTAAGGCGTGTCCTCCTAGCACCGCGTGTAACTCGAGAAGCAGAGGCACGACGTTTGCTCAATGAGCCGATGCCCGGCAAAAAAATGTGTTGGATGAAGTCTGCTGACTTGCAGAATGCTATGGTATATGTTAACATTGTTATATACAATGTATTTACATGGTCCATCACTTCAAAGACCTAAATTCGCACAAGGGCATGCACTTTTGCCTTATGCAACAAAGGACATTTTTTCGCTCTTGATTTGAACATTCCTTGTCATGCTTGCTGAGGATGGGCAATTTGCGTGAACTTATGACAAGTGTCGACATTTTAGGAATGGACAAGGACGAACTTGTGAAGAAGTCTGATGAGACTGCCTGTTCATGCTGCAGAGCGTTGTGGCAGGACAAGCTTCACATTTCAGGCCCAGCTGAGGCCGATCCTTTGCATGAATAATTGCTCATACTCCTGCAGGCCACGTGGTATTTTTGTATTGTGTGAAGCTGTGTGCCAAATGATCAATGATCAATGGATACTACTGTATATATATATATATCTATCTATCTCTCTCTCTACAAATGCATACATACACACACACAGATATATATATATACATACACAATACTCGTGGCCTCTTCAGGCACAGCCACTTTCTTGCTTGTCCTTCTGTGCACTTTCTATGCATTTGCAGTCTTGTCTGGAACAGAGTGACGTTAAGAAAAGAAGTAGTTTGTAAGGGTAAGGAGAATTGCCTGCGAAAAGGTGACTGTTAAATTTCTTTATTTTTGTTGGTATACATACACCTCTGTACATAAGGGCTGGTCAATGTGCACAACTTATCTGAGAAAGCCACTATTGATTCTGATATGGTTTTGCTTTACAAAGTGGAATTTCGCAAGCTTCAGACCTATAGCCAAGCAGGCTCTGGCTATGGTGAGCATCATGTAAATATGCATGCCCCAAGAGCCTGAATATTCTAATCTAGTCATTCACATAGGATGACTTTCACAACGACTAACAAGCTGAAACAGAACATGTAGTGACAATGGCATCTCATAATCTCATAATAATATATTTTAATGTCATAACTACTGTACTACAATCACCACATACTTATCATGATCATCATCTAATCATGTGATCCTGTGTCTTCCAAGAGATCCATGGCCAATGGCAGTGGATAGTGGTGCAAAGAACGAGTTGGTCGAGACTGTTTTGCATGATGCGTACTCCAAGCTTTGGCAGTGCTGTGGCGTGGTATTCCGTCATGGCAATGATGATCAGGCCATGTGTGAGTGTCATGTACCAGTCCCACCCAGTTTAGTGCCATGCCGCTGCCACGATATGATAAGATATGGTACTAATTCCATGTCACAAGTGCATGATTGCTCCAGTGCAGTCAAGCTGGAGAGGCATGCGCATTCACCACTGCTATGCAAGGGATTGCTTCAATCTTGGACGCTTGGCATTGGACATTGAACATTGGATAACATTGGACTGTACCTGACCACAAACTCAATGATTTATCATTGACTGGACTGGACTCGAATCGAATCAGAATTGCCAGGAACGCTTCGAGGAACAGAAAGACAGATTGAAAGGGAGCGTGAAGATTACTGCTGGTCGGCCTGCATTTTCTATCCAACAGCTGGTGGGAATCATGAAAATGCACCTTGCCTGCAAAGCCTCTTGCCTGCTGCTCACTTGAGTTCAAGTAGTTTCAAGTTTCAAGGTATGTTGGTTGTGGACCTCACTAAACCTCATGCAAGGAGAACACACATCCGCAATGGGAGCCAATTTTCAGAAGCAGTGAGACGAGCTATGACCTTGGTCTTTGGCGAAAACTTCACGGCTATGCAGAACGAAGAAGGGACCCTTGTAGCAAGTTCAACTTTGTGCAGAGCCACCTACAAGCTGGATATATCACATATGATCCTGCGTCAGCAGCAGTGGAAGTCACGCAGGGAGTTAGGCCAAACGTATGCCATTCAACTTAGAAGCTTGGTTGTGATGTTGGTTTCAGTTGCAGAGTTCGCTGTGTAAGGTAGATTTTGCTTGTGAGTGGATGTGGATTCAGTCAATGAAGTCATGCTTTGAGTGTGATTCTGAATCTCGTGCTGTGTTTTAAATTGAGTTTGTTGGACTTAGATTTCGACTCATCTCCGCTCAAGTTGGACTATTTTCTTTGCCGAGAAATATCAATCAGGCACCATGGCTCAACAGTAACCACTGATGGTCAACCAAAAGGCTTCAATGAGTTGTTTCAGTTCAGTGCTGCAATCGTTTTTTCCAGCTTGACTCAGCTGCAGCCATTTTCAGGAAACTCAAAGTCTAAAAAGATCAGATAGACGCACTGTCAGCCATCGTTGGACTGAATGCTGTTCCCTCGCCGCTGCCTTCCTCCCCCACCTCTGGCTGTTAGAGTGAGGCAGAATCGGTCTCGATCTAGATGCAATAGTCCTGTCAATGGTCATTCAGACTCAAGCTCTGACTCCGAATGTGACTCCTGGGAAACGCAAAGTCAATATGATGTAGCACCCCAAAGTCCAATCACAATGGCTGAGAGTGGCTCTGGTGATGAATATGATTCTGATGCTGCTGAGACAACTGAAGACTACAACATGGACTCAGACTCAAATACTCCAACACCAACAGTGGCGATGTTGGTTGAAGTAGTTGATGTTGAGAGTCCTCCTCAGGCCTTGCAAATTACAAGCTTTCCAGGGCCTCAAACTCCTCCTGGACTGTTGTTTCCAGCGCCTGTGACTCCGCCTGAGTTGTTGCTTTCAACCCCTGAAGATCCTCTTCCAGAGAATTTTCAAACCTGGACCCCAGCAACGCCTCCTGAGTTGCTGATGCCAGACCAGAGAGTGGGGGAAGATAGAGGGGAAAATGACAGAGAAGATGGCCATGGCACAAACACTTCAGAGCCAGAACTAGAACCTGAGCCTGAGCCAGAGCCACAAGTTTGAGCTTTGCCACTGTTGACTTGTGCAGCAATTAAGTCCCGATTTGCCACGTCATTTAATTTGCTGGCATATTTTGGAATTCTACACATTTTTGGGTAACAGTGGTGGTCAAGTACACTGTATTTGGCTGCGCTGTGTACAGTTGCAGTTGAAGGTTGGCCAGAGAGTTCTGTTTGAACGAGAGTGTTGCCAACCAAGCCTAAGAGCAATGTGGCTGCCTACTGGCTTTGATGTAGCAGTCGTATCAGTGTGTGCCTGTGCCTTGTGACTCTTGTGACATTGCGCGGCGCGTTCTTAGTTCTTGGCAATTGAAAAAATCGATGTCGCAAGTGAGAATGGGTTGCTGTGACTGTTTGTCATTAGCCTCTGATTGATATCAAATCACAAAGAGGTGGTGGCAGCAGTTAATGTTTTTTCTTGACCCTGTGATCTTGCCAATTGCCGAGGCATCAACATGCTGTGCAACAATGGAGGCGCCAGTTTCGGATACCAGAATCCGCTGCTCTACTGGACAATGCTGATGGTGATGGCCATGATGATGATGTCTCTGATGCTGCAGCTCCCTGGTATCTTCTGCACCCTGATCCCAACGACTTCTCTGACAGGGTCATGGTGCCCGTTGTTTTGGGTCAAGGCTCCTTCATGCAATTCAGCGTTGATGCCAGCGCCAGGTGCCAGGTATGCAAGGTTAGTGCTTTGCCTTTGCCACTCACACTGTGATTCTGTGATTCACAAGGCTGTGGGAATTGGGCGCACAAACTCTCAGCCTTACTGCACATGATTCGAGCAGAAGCTGGAGATGGCCAAGATGAGTCTGCAGTGGATCACTATTGTCACAGCATCATAGCATTTATCACAGATCAAGGTGACTCACTTTATTGCCAAGCACTTCACTGAAAAATGATTTGCTTTTGTGCTTTTGTTTTGTTTCAGTTTGTTATGTGCTTCTTTGGTTTTCTATTGAAGCACAGGAACAGAACACCTTCTGGCTGATTCCCACAAAATAGACACCCGCAAAGTACATCGCGCAGAAGCATTGGTGGTGGGGGCATCAGCATCACTGCAAGATGATCAAAGCGGTCAGTTGGCACTTGAAGAGGAGACCACATTCTGAGGAAGTCACAGTTGTTTGGTTGCTCGATGCTCAATCCTTCCAGGACAGCTCTGCGCCATTGGGGTCTGGAGCAATTATTGAGGTGTGCTCTGACACTGATGTGCCTGGTCTGGCAGTCTGAGAAATGCATGAGTCAAAATGTGTTGTTTTCTTTTACACTCTGTTTAGTTTAGATGTGTAGAACCAGGCAGACGACAACAACAAGCTTGACAAGCTGAGCAACAAATCTGTAGCTGTAGAGAATGCAGCAGCTGCAGCTGATGATGAAGACCGTATGTCTCCAGAAGAGGAGGCAGCTTTGCTGAGACTGCTGCTTTGGATGCATGGTTTGGGGACTGGTTTTTGGCTTTTGGTTTCATGTTGTTCTTTGCACATAAATCTATTTGCAACTGGTGAAAGATGTAGCGTGACCACAACTTCTGCAGTACTTGACATTGTGAAGAAGTTGTCGTGCCTGTTGTGAGATCAAAGAAGCTGCAAGGTTCCCGAATTGTCTCAAAATCAGTGGATTGAAACACATCTCCGACAATTTGATGCAAGCTGCCTTCTCAAACATGGAATGGCACCTTGTCCTGCAAGCTGAAGGGCAAATCCAAAGTCAATGTTGTTGGTTGACTTCCTTTACTGCCATTAGCCATTCTTTGTGAATCAAATAGTAATGCATGAATCATGACATCCAAGTTGGCCTGACTTTCTCAATGATCTTCGGGCGGTATCCAGATGGTTGAACAACCCTATGATGCGGGAAAGGTTTGCAGCAACTTGCATTCCACGAGACAGACCTGATCATATTTCGATGTTTGAGCATTGGTCATGCACATTGAAGGGACTTAGATGGCAAGCCATTGTTGAATTTACAGCCAAGGCAGGGTAAGGCATTAATCTTTTGTTTTCCTGCACTGATGTTTGCAGCAGTCCGTGAACGTCTTTATGTGTTTGTTTCCTGTGGTGTTTGTTCATTCACACTCGAACCCACCTTGACCCTGAGCTACTGAAACTGGAACACATTCTCATGCACTACTTCAATGCTGTCAATTCCGTGGCTGGGGGTGGTAGTACTACTTCAGCGATAGTCCCTACAGAGGATGATGCAATTGTCGAAGCCTTCGAAACAAATCGTGATGCACTGGTTTCAGCAGAGTTTTGGGCGATGTGCAAGATAGTGTCAGAGGTTGGTTTTCATGCAGAACTTATTGGACGATGGTGTGAAGGGTGTGTATGCCACGAAGCAGAACTAATGAATTCGTCGTCGTCGTCGACATCAAGTTCTGTCATTTGCCCCTTGAAGGGATGTCGGGCACCAGAGCTAGCCGCTGGCAAGGCAATACAAATGTTTCGGCAAACCTTGGTTTCTA